TTTTCTCAACACCAGGGGAACCTTCTGAGGACTTAACACCCTCCTCACAGCCTCTCCTGCACACAAATAGCAGCTGGGGGGGGGGGGTGGAGGGGTGCCCCTAACCCACCTGACAGGCTCCTCAGGGGGGTCCTGGGCTCCAGCCCTGCTTTGGGCAGCCCTACACCATGTACCAAAATTTCCCATCCTTTCTCAGCCCATGACACACCGATGAACTTCCCATCCAGTCACGACCCACGGGGGACAGAGCAGCAGAAACAGACCATCTGTCACTCGCCCTTGGACCCCAGAGCCAGTCCTGCCCATTGAAGTGTGTGTTATTTGCACGTTGGAGAGAAATGTGTTTTCTTCATGTGTAAAAGCTGAGGCACCTCTCTCTGAATGACAGAGGCTTGTTCACAAGACTCAGCTATTTTTTTCTAAGCCATTATTCTAATTTTTTTCTAATTTCTAATCCAAGTAGAATTTACATGCATTGAAAAGTATACATCTTAAGTATACAACTGGATAAGTTTTGACAAATACATATCCCAGTGTATCCCACACTATTACCAAAATACAGAACATTTCTCTCATCTAGAAAGTTCCCTCATGCTCTTTGCCAATCAATCTCCACCCCTCCTCCCAACACCCCCACCCCAATAACCGTACCCCCCATACCCCCTCCCAACACCCCAGCCCCAACATCCCAACACCCCCACCCCAACACCCCTGTTCCCAACAACCCACACCCAATACCCCACCCCCAACAACCCCACCCCCAATATCCCCTCCCAACACCCCACCCCCAACATGCCCAACACCCCCACCCCAACACCTCTGTCCCCAACACCTCCACCCCCAACATCCCCAACACCCCCACCCCAGTACTCCCACTCCCCAAACCCCCACCCTACCACCCCTATCCCCAATACCCCCCTCCCAACACCCCCACCCCCAATATCCCCACACCCCCACCCTCAACACCCCACTCCCGACACCCCCACCCCGAATACCCCACCTCCAACATCCCCAACACCCCCACCCCCAACACCCCCACCCCAAGGCAACCACTGTTCTGATTTCTGTCACCAAAGATTAGTTGTGCCTATTCCAGAACCTCACAGAAATGGAATCACACAGAATGAGCTCTTTTGTGTCTGGCTTCTTTAACTCTGCATAAAGCCAGATAATTATATTTAAGCAACTCTAATTCTCTATGCAGTCTGTGTGCTGGAGAAGGCTTCTAGATTTGGAATCTTTGTGTTGGGGTCCAAAATAGCTTTTGTTGGGCCAAGCACTTCTTTCCTGCCTCCCCACCTCTCCCCCAGCCTCTGAAGACCCTATTTTATACAGAGAACTTCAAAAGGACCTCTGAGCTCTGGTTCTCAGACTTCACCCCTGGAGCCAGGGCAGAGCGTGACAGCCTCTCTCCGGATGGGACATTGCTGCAGGAGGGCCAGAGACCACGCGGTCTGGTTCAGAAAACAGGAAAGGGAAAGTTCCATGTCCGACGAGTGTATTAATTTCCTACCGCTGCCGTGAGAAATTGCCACCCAGTCAGTAGCTTAAAACGACAGAGATCTGTCAGGTCACAGGTGAGATGTCCAGGCTCCAACTGGTTTCTCTGCTCCAGGTTCTACAAGGGCAAAATCAAGGTATCAGCCAGCCTGGGCTCTGATCAGGAAGTTCTGGGAAGAATCATTTCCAAGGTCGCTCGGGTAATTGCCAAGTTCAGTTCTGTGAGGTTGGAGGACTGAGGTTCCCCCTTCCTTGCTGGCTGTCAGCGGGGGCCGATCTTTGCTCCTGGAGGATGCTGACATTCTTTCTCTTGTGTCCCTCCAACAATGGCAGGCTGGCTTCCTGTCATCCGTGAAATCTCTCTGCTTCCTCTTCTGACCTCAGCTGGAAAAAAGTTCCTCTGCTCTGAGGGGCTCGTGCTATGAGATGCCCCACCCCTCACCAATAACGCAAACTAACCTCCCTGTTTTAAGATGTCTAACTTTAACTATACCCGCAGAGTCCCGGCGGCCACGTACAGCGTTTGGGAGTCAACAAGACCACCTTCTGGTTTGATAAGTCACTAGGAAGGCTCATAGAACTCAGAAACAAAAAATGCTCATGGTTAGGGTTGATCACAATGAGAGGGCACCGATGAAAATCAGCAGTGGGAAGAGGCTCGCGGGACAGGGTCTGGGAGAAGCCAGGCGCAAGCTTCCAGGCAGGGCCGTGCGGATGGCCCTTCATTCTCCCAGCAAAGATGGGTGACAGCACACATGGGGCACTGCCAGCCAGGGCCACTCACCCGAGCCCTGGTATCCAGAGTTTTCGGCGGGTCTAAGTCCTGTAACTACAGCTGATTGTTGGCCATGCTGACCTCATATCCGCAGCCCCCCCAGAGGTCGAGCTGGGACCCTGGGGCCCAAGGCTCCCACCCTAGAACTCATTGTTATCATAGACTGGCTGGCTGGCCCAAGATCCCCAGAGACACAAAGACACTCTTACCAGACAGGACCTTCCAAGGGCTCAGAGGTAACTTCCCAGGAGCTGAGGACAAAGACCGAATCCCTCTTTGGTCAAGGTCAGTCTCTGAACACCATGACACTAACATTTCCACCGGCTCCAGGATCGAGAGCGAGAGCGGCTCCAGGATCTAGAGCATGTCCTTGGGGAGTCATTGTTCTGCTAATCACAGCTTCAGTCTCCCGGAGTCCAAGGGAGCAGGGTTTCCCAAAGTGTATCCTTTGGAACCCAAACCCCTCCAGCCGTTCCCAGGAAGGGGCTGTGGTCAAACAGCTTTTGCGACCGTCATCCCCCCGTACCTTCCTTTCTCAGAGACCCACTTGGGCTTCAACGGAAGCCCAGGGAAATCCTGCCATAAAGACCCCTACTGCAGTGCACTTAATCCACATTGCCCAAACTGTCTTCTCTGGGGAGCCATCTTGCTCCCTCAGGCGATCTCTTGTAGGGTTCTACCAGAGATACCTGGGGGAGGTGGGACTGTGCCGGAAACCATGTTTGCAACCTGGAGCCTTGCCACCAACCCCTTCCTCAAGACAGTTTGAACGCCTCCCCTCTCATCCTGACACATTTTTGCACACATGGTGAGCGTCTTTCTTGTATAGAGCGGGTTCAACAGAGCCCAGGCTTGCTTTGAACTCCAGCTCCAGGGCTTTCTGACTCGTGACACTGCCTCGTAGGTCTCTGAGCCTCTCTGAACCTCAGTTTCTTCATCAGAGTTATTGTTTTAGTCATTGTGAATTAAATTAGGTAACATACACAAAGTGCTTAGCTCATCGTATACTCCTGACAGATGCTAGCTTTTATGGTATTTATTTATTTACTTTTAAATGTTATTTATTTATTTTTGAGAGAGAGACAGAGACCGAGAGTGGGGGGGGGGGGGGGGGGGGGAAAGAGAGGGAGAGAGAGAATCCCAAGCAGGTCCCGCACTGTCAGCACAAATCCCGATGTGGGGCTCGAACTCCCAAACCGTGAGATCATGACCTGAGTCGGAACCAAGAGTCGGGGGCTTAACCAACTGAGCCATCCAGGCACCCCAGTATTTATTTATTTTAAATGTTTACTTATTTGCTTTGAGGGAGGCAGCGCAAGTTGGGGAGGGGCAGAGAGGGAGGGAGAGAGAATCCCAAGCAAGCTCCACGCTGTCAGCACAAAGCCTGACGCGGGGCTCGATCTTACAAATTGTCAGATCAATGACCTGACCCAAAATCAAGAGTCAGACACTTAACCGACGGAGCCACCCAGGGGCCCCTATAATATTTATCTTCTAAGAATAAAACGTCTTGGGGCGTCTGGGTGGCTCCGTGGGTTAAGTGTCCAACTTCGGCTCAGGTCATGATCTCACAGCTCCTGAGTTCAAGCCCCGTGTTGGGCTCTGTGCTGACAGCTCAGAGCCCGGAATCTGCTTCAGATTCTGTGTCTCCCTCTCTCTTTCTCTCTGCCCCTCCCCTGCTCTCTCTCTCTTTCTCAAAAGAAATAAACATTAAACGAAAAGAAAAGAAAAGAACTAACCTCCCCTGCTGCCTTGTCATCACTGTCAACGCCAGGTCCAAAGACCCCGTGAAGCATCTTGTAGGATGGTCCTGATTTTGGCCCAGGGGAACCGAACGTGGCCAAGCATTCTGGCAAACGTAAGTGGTACTTCTCTCGAGGATCCCAAGGATCTGACGAGCTAACTAACCCAGAAGGATCCTATCTAACGAGTGTGTGGTGAACGAAGGGCACCCCGTTCAAGGTGACCAGGAGGCCTCACGCTCTTACTTGCCGGCACTTTGTCAGTATTTATTGAAAGCGATCGCTCTGCGTGGAGCTGCTCCTGGAAGGGACACACGGGCCTCTGACCTAACCCCCGAGCCTCCCCCATGTCCAGAACCAAGCAATACTCTCCCTTAGGCCCGCACGCCGCTGCTCGGCCTTGTTAATCAGCCATCCAAACGAACTGCAGAATGACCGTCAAGGCCGCCACACGGCCCGTGTTTTCTCTTTGGGGTCTGTCCCCAAAGCTGGGTGGCCCTCCGGGTTCCAAGTCCTCCTAGACCTTCTGCCTGGCCTCATCTTTTCCCACACGGTGGCTCTCACTCTCAGCCCAGCCGTGAGGCCGATGTCCGGCTTGGGGATTGTTCTCTTGGCTTTGACCTTGGGGCCCCTTCAGGACACAACTCCTGTATCACTTTCCATCATCACAGATAAAGGCAGGTGGAGCCCCCCCGCCTGATGCCCCCGCACGTTGGGCCCTGCGTACATCTACGGGCAAAGCTGAGCCCTCCATGGGAAGGGACAACTTGGAAAGCATCTTGGAAGAGGCCGGGTGGACCGCACTACAATCCAAAGCTGGGCATCCTGCGTTCAGAGTGGGCAGCGAAACAGTCAGATTTGGTTTGCTTTGCTTTTTTTCTTACATCTGACTCATCTTCTTTATTTTTATTATTTTATTACTTTCATTTCAAGAGAGAGTGGGGGGGGGCAAAGGGAGAGAGAGAGAAAATCTTTTTTTTTTCTTTTTTGAATGGTGATGGTATTTATTCGGGCAGCCTTTGTCTTCTGTGTCCCATTAGCCCTGGGTCCTGGCATCTTGTGTCTTCAGGATTCAGCATATTGAGCCCTGATCGGGGAATGTTAGAGGGTCAGAATAGGTAGGTCGTGCTCAAGGAAATGAAGCTGGAGATATTTGTAGAACCATTTTTCTTCTCTTTTTATTATTATTTGTTTGTTTACTATAATTCATTGTCCAGTTAGCTAACCTACAGTGTATACAGTGTGCCGTTGGCTTCGGGAGTAGATTCCCATGATTCATCACTTACATACAACACCCAGGGCTCATCCCAACAAGCTCCCTCCTCTTCAATGCATCACCCATTTTCCCCAAGAGAGAGAATCTTAATTTTTGAAAAATGTCATATTTATAGTTGAGACAGAGAGAGACAGGGCATGAGCGGGGGAGGAGCAGAGAGAGAGGGAGACACAGACTCCGAAGCAGGCTCCAGGCTCCGAGCCGTCAGCACAGAGCCCGACGCGGGGCTCGAACTCACAGACCGTGAGATCGTGCCCTGAGCCGAAGTTGGATGTTTAACCACCTGAGCCGCCCAGACACCCCTCCCCAAGCGAGAGAATCTTAATCAGCTTCCATGCTCAGCGTGGAGCCCGACCCAGGGGCTTGATCCCATGACCCTGGGACCATGACCTGAGCCGAAATCAAGAGTCAGATGCCCAACAAGGTATCCCTACACCTGATTCCTCTTCTAAGATAACCCTATGCTATTACGAATAACATGGGGGCACCTGGGTGGCTCAGTCAGGGGTTCATCTCTGGGGTCGTGAGTTCGAGCCCCACGCTGGGTGAAGAGATTACTAAAAATAAATAAACAACAACTTAAAAAAAAAAAACAACAGAAGAACAAGCATGATGGAGTTGGTGATTCTGCTAACAGCACAGGCTCGGGGCTGAATTGGGTACCAGGTCCTGTGCGTCTTTTCCTTGCACTGTCTCATGTAACCCCGCCATGGTTACCCCATTACCTGTCATTACCCCAATTTACAGGTGAGGAAGGGGTAAGTCACCTGTGTGGGGTCACTAGCTGGTAGGCTTGTCCTCCAGGCCCGCGTGCCTCAGTACCCCTAGCTCTGCCTTGCTGTGGCCCCCCGCCCCCCCCCCCCCCCCCGGCCACTGCCGCCATCTCCCTGGGTCTCCTTGGCCTGAGACACAGATGTGCACCATCTGGCAAGCAGCCTTGGGCCCTGTGATCCCTGAGAAAAATGCCTGGGGCTCTGGAAAGTCACCTGTTTCAAAATGAAGGAACCAGGTGGACTCTCCGACCGACTTCCTTCCAAGAGGCTCCTGTGCGTCCAGTCGTCAGGCTCCCAGCCCAGCCTCACTGCACGTTGATCCTTCCGTCCCCTTTCCTGGGTCCCTCACGGACAGCGGTGGCTCGAGTGCCCTCTCTTCTCCCGCAATGGGTTTTCTGTGTCTCCCCCCCTCCCACCCCCTGCCTCGTCCAGCCCCTGGCCGCGACACTGGTCCAGCCTCGGTCTTTACTGCCATCTAGTGGCCCCCGGACTTACCGCAAGGAGGAGTGTTCCAAATCGGAAACCAGAATTCCAGGCGCCTTTGAAATGCTGTAGTTTAGCCTGTTTCGTCCCCACGTCTCCACGGGGCAAACCCAGGCCCAGCCCTCTGACAGCAACAGGCTTGGTGTGGCCCTGGGGGACCTGCTTGAGGGGGAACGGATGCAGCTGTTCGTCCTGCGGAGGACCCCACCCGTGGGCGCTCGCCCCCTGTCTGCGGGAGGGTTTCCGACTTCAGATGGAGAGCTCAGCTTCCCCCTGGCATCCAGGCTCCACGTCTCTGCCCACCAGAGGCCAGGGGGTGTGGAGGGCAGGGTGGCCAAAGTCCAAGAGGGATGCAGAAAGCAGAAGTTGGCCCCGTGCGCAGGGGCGGGTGGGGGGCGAGGGCAGAAGCCTTCCAGAGGCAGAGACGCAGGAGTGGGTTTGTGTCCGGGCAGGAGACGAGAGGCGCAGAGCTATCTCTGCCCCGGGCTGGCCCTCTGAGGAATCAGGTGGCCAGGGTTCCCATCCTGACCCTGCCGCTCACTCGGAACATCTTGGAAAAGGAGTCACCGTCCACCTCTGGGCTGTTGTCAGAATCCGACGGAGACGGATATGAAGCCCCGGCCCACAGCAGGCCCTCGTGTGAGTTTCCTGTCGCTCTCCCCTCACAGATGGCCACAAGGGGGTCACTTAAAGCATCAGGAAGTACTCTCTCCTAGTTCTGGAGGCCACGCGTCCAAAACCGAGGAGTCCGTGGGCTTGGTTCCTTCTGCCGGCCCTAACGCAGACTGGTCCAGGCCTCCTCGCTCCTGGCTTCTGGGAGTTGTGGGCAATCCGCACGGCATCGTCCCTGTGGGCACGTGTGTGTGTGCGTGTGCGTGTGTGTGTGTGTGTGTGTCTTCTCTTCTTGTAAGGACACCAGTCATACTGGATTAGAGCCCCAACCCACACTAATCAAGTATACCTTCAACTTGGCTCGATTACATCTGCAATAACCCTATTTCCAAATAAGGTCACGTTCACAGGAGGTTAGGGCTTGAGTATGTCTTTTGAGGAGGGGACACTATTGTCCACGGCAACCCTCAGGCGGATCGTGCATCATCGGGCTCCCATCTTCCCTCGGGGTCAAGAGCAAAGTCCACTTGTGTCTGATGTCCCGTGGGCCCCCCATGCCGGGTTTGCCCGCTCTGACCTCAAAATGTCAGTTACATCTGGCTCGCTCACCTCCCACACTCAGCTCCATTACTCCCCGTCTTTAAAAGGCTACAGAGATGTCCCTACCCCCGGGAGTGGCCCCAGATCAGTCCCCAGGCCCCACCTTGTCTCACCGTCCCCCAAGGCCCTCACGGGTGTCAGGCACCTGCTGCAGGGGGCGGCTGTATGAAGCATGTTTTAGGGTCAACACCACCAAGCGGACGCCCCTCAGCGGAGCAGAAACCCCTCAAAGTCGGCAGAACTCAGAAGATGCCCTCACTGCCCGATTCATCCCGGCAGGCCTCTGAAGGACAGGGGTCCAAACAATTGTTCTGAGTGTAAAGGAATGTTCTAGAAAGTCAGGCTTTTGTGGGTCAAGTGGTCCGCTTTTTAGTATGTTAAAGAAATATTTTGCCCAAGAGCCTGGGATAAAGGAGGAGATAAAAGCCTGGCGGCCAGGGATGTACTGACCGGGGAAAGATGTTTGAGACGCCCGGCCCCCGTCAGACGGCCTGGAGGGGCAGGCGTGGAGCCAGCCGAGCGGGCCAGCAGACCGCCCTCACCCCTACCCAGTCTCCTGGACCCGTGGCCCCACTCCCTGTGCAATCATACAAGGCCCTAACGAAACGCTGGTCTAAAAGGGCCTGATCTGCAGGAATGTTCGAGGCAAATTAAATACACAGCATCCGAGAAGCCAAGTGGCTTAGGAAAACGCATTCACGGCACAACAAAAGACAGAACAGTTGGACGAGCAAGCGAGACACAGCCCTAATCGGCGGCCACATTTTGTTTGCGCCCCACAATCGCCTATTGTAGAGAAAAAAAAAAATTGTAAAGAAGAAAAAAAAAAAAAGAATGCGTTGAAGCCTTGAAATTAAACACTTAAAAAAAAAATAGGCCGATGTTCTCAGAGACCGAGTTTCAAAAGACAGCTTTTGTTCCACACTCTGGGCTCTCTCAGTCGGCAGCAAATGCCGTCTCCACCTGACGGGCACCGCAGAGATAAGCCGGAAGCACCGTCTTAAACAGCGCGGGGGGCAATTTTCGCCTCTACCTTATCACCACCTTCAAGACGCATTATTTTCATCTGAAGTGCAGTCCCGGTTTTGCAGGGGGGGGGGGGGGGGGGGAGGGGGGAGAAAAAACCTTTTCATCTCTCCCATCCTCGTGTTTTTCCTCTCTCTCTCCCGAGGGAAGCTTGGGGGAAGAACATTCGTCTGCTTGCCATGGTTTGGGAATCCCATAAAACACTCGGGAGGGTGGAGTGTTTCACACTGATAAATAAACCCCCTCCCGGCCCAGCAGGTGGCTCCTGGACACGAAGTCTCGGCCACCGCGCAGACCTGGTGCTGGGGACCGACGTGGTCGGGCAAAGGGACGGCCACCCTGTCCCCACGCCTCCCACCTCTGAAAGCGGGGGTGGGGGGTAGGGGGGGATGTTGGAAGGCCCCAAGTGCCCTTTATCTATGCTCCCCCCTGCGTTTACCCCACTCCCTCTCAGGCACCACGGGCTTTCTCAAGGCCAAGGGCGGCTTTTGCATGTTCATTTACCCATAACGCAATTGCAAGCCAGCCTCCCAGTGGGCCGGAGAAGTGACTTTTCCCTTAAACCTGTTAAGCAAACCAAGGGCCTGGAGGCTAAATTTTCCCTGTCCTTTGTCATCTCTGCCACCGAAAAACAAAATAAAGGAGAGTTCCAGAACAACTGGACGAGTGATGAGGAGGCAGGCAGCCGCAGGACGGTCTGAGCCCTGGGGACCTCAGAGACCACCCAGGCCATTCGGGCAGAGGGAGGCAAAGGACCCAAACAGGGCCGCGGTCCGAGGAGATGTGGCTCTCAAACCCCGGCACCTTGCCTTCGGGAGTGTCCACTCTCCTCCTTGCTCATTCCTTTCTTCGGCCATTCCCGAAATATCCTCGGTACCACTCTGTGCCCTGCTCTAATTACTGAGGACATAATAATTTAACAAAAACCTTCCCCGCATTCACGGAACCCAAGCTGTATGGTGAGGACAGACAGCAGACAAAAAAGATTTACGCTGATGACGCTGGGTGACCCATTAGCAAGGCATCGCCGGTGGATCAGAAGCGCGCCCGGTCGCTGCCGAGTCATGGCAGCACGAGCCATCTCTGGGGACGACGTCTGGTTCCCTCTGACTCCAGCTAGGTCATACCTCCCTCCAACCGTGTCCCACGACTGTCAAGCATCTCTGCTCTAGGGACCCTCGGTTAGAGCCAGAATACCAGCGCAACAAAGGCTGACAGCCCCCCGGAGGGCTTGCCATAGCCTACCCTGGAAAGGACCCCCATGCACCTCCTTAACACCCCGGGCGCTGGGCACTTATGCGGAGAGAGCCCCTGTGCGCAGAGGGACATCCCGTCTGATGAACACACGTCTGTCCCGCAGGGGCATCTCCAGCAGGTAGGAGAGAGATATGGCAGGCGCCAGGGCGTGGGTCTAAACACTCTGCTCCCCTCCTACCATGACTGAAGGACCGCGAGCGGCAGGAACCCGGTCCCTACACATGGGTGACATGTGACCGTCCTCAGGCTGTGGCTGCAGGATTACGGAGCACTGTCTTTCACGTGAGCGCTGACATCCGCTGACATCCGTAGTGGCTTCAGCGACGAGCACCCCTAGAGGGACAAAGATTGGGCTTCATTTTATCATCTTGAGCGTCCTTCCTTAGGGCACGTGCGCGCCCTCCCCCCTCCCCCTTCATCGGTCATCTCTCTCTTCCTCCCTCCCTCTCTGTTTCTCTCTAACGCAACCAGAAAACATGGAAGGAGAGGGCACCTTATGTCCGTGTCGCATTCCAAGGTGATTCCAAGACCTGACTCTCAGACAGACACCAACGGGCTATTTGGGTCTCCGCTCGGTGATTCATCCTTTCCTGCGAGCGCCCCCCTCTGGAGAGCTGGAGAGGTGCTCCCGCAACCCCGGGCTCACTCACAAACCTTTACAAATGGGCTTTGCCCCGTGCGTCTATTTTACACCCAGGAGATGGGTCCACGTGGGAATTGTTTTGCTCCAAGCAGCTGGTGCCAGATTGGCTTCCTAAGTCCCCACGGTCCTGGGGGCAGAGCTTCGGACCCCATGATCCTTCCCTCGAGGCAGACAGACACCCACAGGCTACAGGTACCCCGGGGAAGGGCCGTGCAGGTGCTGCTGGGGCTCGGTTCCCCTCCAGGGTGGGTGCGATAGAGAAACCCTGCTTTCTAACACCCACACCCAACAATCCTGCCGAACCGTCACTGGCCCCAAGAACAACCCACCCAGAATGCCTTGCAACCTTTTTACCCGAAGAAACAATGTATCCTTGGCTTCCCAGCCCTAGCTTCCCTCTGGTGAAATGCAAAGGAAAAGGGAGGGAAGAGAAATGAACTAACATATTAGGCTCTCCCCGCACAGGGCACCGTCCAGGGAGCTTACTGAATGTTCAGCTAATCCTCAGCAACCCCAGGGACGAGCATTGTTTCTCGTTTACAAAGCAGGAAATGAAGGCTTTTGCAGAAAGGTAGTTAGCCGGGTCAAGGTTTCTCAGCTAGACTAAGCCCGAGGCAGGATGTCAGACCCCCAAAGCCCACCCCTTGCTGTCCCGGAAATGCCCATCCCAGCTGCAGCAGAAACAGCTCCAGCCAGGCTGCCCGGCACTTGGGCAGACTCTGCCGTTACACTAACCTTCTCAATTCT